CTTTACTTCCTTAAGAAAGCTTTTATTAAGTTATGATTACATTATCTCCTTGAAAAACATTACGCATTAATAAAGTACAGGGAAGGAAAATTCACAGATAAACTTGATAAAGCACCCCCGAGTAATGATTTCGTGATTACAAGAGATGTAATGCTCAACTAGCGGCTACTCGTCAAATGAAACTACAATTATTCGCCTTATACAATACTTAGAGTCATTAGTTTTTATGAAACAAGACGTTGTTAGCATTTCCCCTTATCTCAAATCACCCAGACGTCAATATCAATAAACCAAAAAAACCAAATTGTCATTTTATATCCCTTGACATTTGATAAATGCCGTCTTGGTTTTTCCGTTTTTTTTACGTCCAAAGATTAAAAACTTTAAAAAATATTAAAAACACTCGAGATTTATGGTTCGCAACCACACTACACGCCATTAAGCCGATTCACAAAAAAAATTATTAAAAATATCCCATCTTTGTCAAGTTTAATTTAAGCCTTGGCAATAAAATTTAATAACACAATAGATAAACGCAGAATGGTAAAAGTTTACCTCTTCACGTGTTGATTAATCCAGATGGTGCATTTCTCTTGTCTGCGAGCCGCAATTCCGTCATCTGCTCAACACGTAAATGTAATCATGTAAATTAGATATGCAAATACAGCTCTTTGCGCTCCCTAGACATTGTTGAGCGTTTTTGAATTTGAGATGTTTAACCTACAAGTTTGTTAGCGAGCTTTAATCCTATACAGACTCGTAATTCTACATATTAATTCGTTTCGAATTAACGGCAAAGATGTTAGTTCTGTCTTGTCGAGATTTTCAGAAGTCAAAAATTCTTTCATAAATCTCTCACGCAGCAGAACCAAATAAGTTATTCAGACGCACCACTAATGAATTTTACACGCAACTGACAAACTGTCGAAGTTTTAGAGTATGTGCTAAGCTGACACAAAAAGCTTTCAACAATTTTGAAACTTCCCTAAAATATTCCAAACAAAGTCAAGAAATTTTCAGTGAAATCATTATTTTAATAAAACTACAAAGACTCATTTGGTTTAATTGAATAAAGTAAACATGCAATAGCAACAGAATGAAATTTTTACGTGTTATTTGTTCATTTAAATGAAACATCCTAGAGCAGAATACTCGTAATAAAATGGTAAAATTTAAATGTGAATGTGATTCGTACTCTTATTCTAAAAATGTGCTAAAACAATTACTAATACAAAAAAAATTAAAACATATTTACATACTTTGCATAGAATTTACAAAAAATTTCACTGCAAGGTATAAAATACACGTACCAAATTGTTATACATACCTATAAACATTAAACAAAATTTGATAAATCGCTAGTCAGATATTTATTTCTTTTCCACTATTATATGACAGATGAAATGCATTTCAGACTTAACATAATATGAATATTTAAATTTTAGATGTGTTTATTAAATAATCTTATTAAAAATGTTACATTGTCGATTGTAACATAGTACGATACATATTTATTTTGGTGTTCTACATTTGATAAATCGATAGTCAGATATTTATTTCTTTTCCACAATTATATGACAGATGAAATGCATTTTAGACTTTACATAATATGAATATTTAAATTTTAGATGTGTTTATTAAATAATCTTTTTAAAAATGTTACATTATGATCAATTGTAACATTGTACGATACATATTTATTCTTGTGTTCTACTCTTTTTTTTAATAAAATGACTTTCAACTCTCATTCTCATTTATAATTTTAACTATGTACAGTGTGTTCCGTTTTCATTGTTACAAATTTAAACAGGAGATAGAATATTCAATTTTAACACAAAAGTTTCCTATGAACATGTATCGAAAGATGCTACGTAGGGGAGCTATGCCCTTTCAAAGAGTTTTTCCAATATTTCCGAAATCATTATAGATAAAATTACAAAATTTGTTACAGATGGTAACCTTTATACACCTAAACAAAGATAAAATGTTAAAATTTCTAATCAGGGGCTTCCTAAACTAGGTAGGCTTAGGGAAAAAAGTACTTTTTACTATTTTGCCTGTAGTTTCTTGCCGCTTACAGCAACAAAATTCTGAATTTTTTTCATAAAAAAAGTCTCTAACGATTTTCCGATACAATTTACCAATTTTGAGTAAAATCAGTTTTAAAATTTATGTTACAGAGCATAAACAGCATACAAGTATAAATTAAAAACTAAATTCGTTTTACCGTTTAAGATGCCCCTGATTAAAAATTTCGACATTTCATCTTGGAATTCGTTTAGGTGTATAAAAGTTACCAGCTGTACCAAATTTTCTAATTTTATCTATTCTGAAATATTGTTAAATATTTAAAAAAACGCACCCTTTATAGGGGTGTAGCTCCCTTATAAACCATCATGTATTTATCAATTATCATCTATTTAAATTTGTAACAATAAAAACGGAACACCTGTAGATTTACAGTGTCCTATGAAGTTAATAATATTTTTGTGCAAGAAATGAAATAACATGTTTTCTGTTTAAGGTAAATTTAACTATAAATTTATAAAACCAAAGCTTAACATAATGCTATCCCGGCGCATCCACCATTTTTACTACACATGTCAAAAAATTATAAATCATCTATACACAAAAGTACCTAGACATCATTAAACAAATTGTGTTAAATATTATTAAAATGATCAGATAATGATGTTAAAAACAATCCTTCTCGTAATGTTACGTGTCTATAAATACGCCTAGAGTAATATTAAAAGTTAAAAGTTGTCTACAGCTTGAAGAAAGATAGCAGGGTATAAAGTCAATTTGTACTCATTGATTAGGTATCTTTTCTTAATTTTATTTCCTCTGATACTAGGTATATTGAGTTATTACAATATTTTGATCTGAAATTTACCATATTTTCAAAAATTTAGGTTGGATTTATGTTTATAGAAACCGAATTAAATATTTATTGGAATTAAATTTGATTCGTTACGTGATTGGTTAAATTTTGACATTTTAATTTTGACAATAAGATATCAGGATTTTGAAGTTAATCGCGATTAACTTAATTTTGTTTTAATCCACTTTCTGTAAACCCACCCTTAGTTTGTCAATTATTGTTTTGACACGAGTATTAAACACTTAACTGTTTTTTTAACTTTTTAAAATAAAAATCATCAAATTAAAATTTTGAAGATAGCATCTTATTTCCATTACCAAAAATTTTCTTTGCTTTTTGTTAAAATAATATGGTTTTTATATTGAGGTGAATTTTGTGTGTTTGTTTGCTCTTTGAAAGCGTTGTATCAAATACTTGAGAATGGGCATCACTACCTAATGAATAATGATTAGACAGAATTCTGTGCTAATATATTGATAGAAACACACTGCAAGTACAATGTTGTAGGCAGAAATAAGCTTTTTGCTTCAGAAACTTTAAAGAAAAAAGATGTCTATAGAGAAAAAAGTTATTTTACAAAAGATATATGCAGGTATTAGAACGATTAGCAATAAATTCCCAGTAATTTTTAGTCGGGGCGCAGGCACCTCGAAAGACGTTTATTTAAGAAGTTCGTCCGGACTCGAAAACACACAATTTTTGAAATCTAATTTTTACGTAAAATTTTCTGCTGAAGTCGAATCCAAAAGTGAAATTGCCTTCACTATAAAAAAGACGTTTTTGTGAAATTGATGCATGTTATAAATTCAGCTTAAGTTAATTATTACACTACTTCAAAAAATGAAAGAAAAAAATATTTTTCTTCAATATTTACTATTATTCTTATATTCTCTCTGTGGTCATTGGTTGCTGAGGTATCGATAATCAAAGACAAAAGGATCCTTTTTCATTTAAAGTCAGATATCTTAGCGACAAATTGAAGTAAAGAGAATATTAAAAAAGCATATTAAAGGTGAACATACTATCCAGCCCATGCATTGACTTAACTAAAAACAAACCCCGACGTCCGTGGACCAAAAACAAAAACAAAAAAATTTAGAATTTTCTCTCCTCACGATATTACTTAGGATTGCGTGGTAACCGTAGCACAGAAAAAAAAAATGCCAAAAGATCCCAAGACTAGAAACTTAAAGCTTCCAAATGTTTTTTTTTAATCTTGATACGACAATTTTTAGATGAATTACAGCCTTTCAAATATCATCAAAAAATTTAGGAAAAATTTTTGTAGCTTTAATTTTTTGGAGTAGTGTACTTTTTCAATTCGTTCCTCAAAAACGGTGCAACCAGATACACTAATTCAATTGGGTTCTTTCTCATTCTTGTTAATTTTGTATTTTCGTCAATGTCTTGCTAAAAATGTTTAGCAAATCTGCACTACAAATTGCATCTAAATTTTAACGGTTTTTTTTCTGAATTCTGCTTGTACACTATTCATCTTCAAGTTTCCAAAACCTGTTAGCGGTACCAAATTTGTCCCTGTTTTAGTGCTTTTGCCTCTAAATTTTCTTAGACCATTTTTTGCTGACATTTAATGACTTTGTTTTCAAATTAAGTCAAAAACCAAAACTGCCAACTTCCTTTATTATTAAACAATTTTAAAATTTTTCAGTCGGAACCTCTTAATTCTATTATTATAACTAGGTAATTAAGAAAAAATCAGAAATTAAAAATTAAAGCTTGTAAAAACGTGGAAAGTTTTTCTTTTTTAAAAATGTAAATCTGTATTTAAAAATTTTGAAATTAATCTCAAACCTTTATTTTGAAATATTTATTTCAATTTTCCCCGGTGCATGCTAATATTTTAGGTCATAAAAGCACTGATAAAATTTTTACACAAAGTTTTTAATATCTTTCCAACTAACGAATACTGGGAAAACATTTTAATTTTGCTTGAAATTTTCTGCGCCGGCATGGCATCTGGAACTATCTTGAAGAATCTAAGTGTATTAAATTCCTTCATTATTTTATTGAAACCAAGTACGAGATCTGATCCTTATTATCCCCGAACATCGTCGTAATCCAATTCCAAATTAAACCTCTCTCATATTCCACTTACCGATAACAGTGAAGTTGACTTTACTATTTCTGGTGGGTGAGTTTTTAAAATCGACTCGACATCGATAAATTCCTTCGTCTGAAAGTTGAATCGATGCAATTTCTAATGTTGCAGGTGACGTGGTGTGCCGAAAATACGCCCTGTCTCCGAAAACATGTGGTGACGACCAATATTTTGCCTGACTGAACTGTCGAGCCCTCACGTCGAAACTGAAAAAAAAATTAGCGCATAAATCAGCCGAAATTTCGTAAACACGCTCAAGTTAAGTATAGGGATCCTTGGAGGGAAGCGCCGGTGCGGAACAACGACTTCCGCAAAACTCACACACACCCTTAACCTTAAATAGATTGATTGATATCTCCATCCAAAAATACACAAAAACTTGATTCGGTGCTTAGCTATAACATGTTGTGCGTCAATTGAAATACACGAGTAAAGAATTTTAAATATTGCGTATTTCATGTCTCTTAACCATTTGAAACAGATGTAATAAAACATTTTTACAATTGAGATTAAAATCAAAAAAGTAAGAACAAAATACGACTTTGTCTTCAAGTATGAAGAAGTAATAAATTTAGTTTTATAAAATTATTAAAGTGCAGTCGGCACTGAAAAGAACAAGTTATTTGTGGCAAGTCTATTTTACTGAAAATTTTATATTATAATTATAAAGTGACTATTATAACACTCTAAAATTACATTCAATACCGCACGAACAATTTACGTAATGTACCCTTTCGGTTTTCTCAAGTCAAACGCCTTAAAATCGCGTGTTCAACTTCTTTATTCCTCTCTAATTGCCACTGGAAGCTTATTCAAGTAACCGAAATTTAGTAAAGTGTCAGTTATTGTAAAATTACAGTCAATTTGACCAATTATACTCCTAGAAATGTTTGGAAATGATTAAGTTTAAAACCACTAATTAAAAACTTTCCAAGAAAAATAAAAAGAAGCATTATCTTAATTTCTCTCATTTGCTCCAAAACTATTAAAGTACAATCTTCATTTATTTTTTAAGTTCCAATAAGATGAAGAGAATTTTTCAACAAAATTCGATATTTGATTCAAGCTAAATGCAAATGAATGGCTTCTGAGGGACAAAAATATGATATTAAGTGCCATATTCATGCAAGTTTTAATTAAAAGTACGCTTTGCAGCGTAAAAAAGCACATCTGAATGCAGTTATAGGGAGAAATCGTGTCGATACAAAAGAATAGAAGTGTATTTAGTCCCGCGAGTCTTTTGAATGGGATGACTGCGCATAAAACGTATCTGCAATTCTTTACGTTTATGGTTGCGCTAAATCGATATTTTCTTTCAGAGGGTAATTTAAGTTCTAAGTGTATGAGATTATCACAGATTTTGAATACTGATGAGAGTGTAGAGCCTGCAGCGGGCGGATGGAAAAGAAAAACAAGAGAAAAAAACTGCGATTGAAGATTAAATCAATCGCAATGTGTTGCTTAAGGAAATTGCTAACTAGTTTGAAGGGTTTAAGCAGATGTTGCCGGACTTAATTTTCTAAATGAAATTCACGATTTGATTGAAAGTTTAATGGAATTGTCACTAAAATTTGTAAAAAATTGAGCGATGCAATGACATACACATTACACATAATTTAAGTTGACATTAACAAGAATAAATGAAATCTTGTTTTGTATTTTGAAAAAAATTAAAGTACAATTCACTTTAAACCATCAAAAATTAAAAAAAAAAGAGTTTTGCACAAAATCAATTCGCTATTTCGTTGTACCTACTTGTCCTTGAAATGTTGAAACTTGATTAAATAATGAACTGAACTCTCAGTTCTTCCTTGACTGTGCCATGCCTCACGTGTTTAACCAACAAAAATTCTTCTCCTGAAGATGATACAATAAAGTATCGAAACGTCGCAACAAATTTAATAGTTTCATTCATTCTGTGTCCTAAAACACCCTAATCAAGATTACAATCAATTTTAGACTTTTGAAAAGGTCCACCTAACGTAAAAGTTTGAAAACTTGTGTATTATTAAAACTGTAGCACTACTTACAAGTACTCATACATATGGATAAGTAGAACCGTCTGAAGATGTATTTTGGACATAAAATAATATACAGAATAAAAAAATCATTTTCAATTTAAATTTAATTACAATTATAAATATACCTACACGTCAACATTCATAAAAATATAATATTAGCTTGAAACTATACAAATAATTTTACAAAAATATAGGTACAAAAACAATAAACAAACAAGTTTCCGTAACATGCTATTTGCTTTGTTATTAATATTAATATTGTTCAACTTTTAAATTAAAAGTAGCTAGCAGATATACGTATTTGTTCAAAAATTGTTGGTTTTTATCTGGTTTACATTTGTTATTTGTTGTTAAAATTAATGCAACACTTCTTTGTATATTAAAATTTTATTCATAGGCCAGCAGCATTTATCTATAGTGCTGTTTCCATAACATTAATTCCGATGTTTATAAATGTAAAAGTAATCTAATCTTTGACATAAATTTTTTCGATTAAAACTTTAAATCTTAAGGATACCACAAACCACTATATATATATATTAGATTAGATTACTTGCATTTATGACATTTAAAACTTTTAGCAAGTCTTTAAGAAAAATCTTTTGCGGTGAACTCGTTTTCATTAAATTTTTAAGAATTTTAGCAACAAGTAGGTAAGCATTTTTGGTGTGATATTTGTCTTGGCTCAAAGGCCGTAAATGTGAGTCAAACGGTCGTAATCTCAGGTTCAAGTAAAGCTAGTCGCGAAACGTTCATATTCCTTGTGAACTCTCTTGTCCTTTAACTTGATTTAAGTGTTCTATTAAAACCACTACCTACCCCTTGAAAACTCAAGATCGGCTTTTATACGGGAATGAATATTCATTACTTCGTTCCAACCAGTCTTGGCAAGACAATAAAAGCTTTTTCAAGCCTTAATGTTCAACTAACGTTGTAATGAAAACGTTTGTCACTCGTAAATTTATCACGAGGCTGACACACAATTAGTATCCACGTAAAAATACCCCCGAAAGTGCTCTATTAATAGCGAAGGGTCGAAACAACAGACATAAAATTTCCCAACTGATCGGATTAGCTTTTTAGGTCTCCTTTTTCGTCCATCACGTTTTATCTCGGTTTAGGAAAATCGTTGCACCTCTATTTAGTCTCAAGAGCTCTCTCGTTCCTTCTACTGTCAAAATAAACCTTTCCCGACTTAGTTATCCTCTCATTTATTTCATACTAAAATGCAAGTGACAATTCCCACGTTACTTTAAGATCACCAACGTGCACAAATTAACTTTAGTGGTAATAATAGTGAACTCACAAGAGTTTTATGACGCAGCGAAAGACTGCTCCACATTCATAACTCTGCTCGAAAAACTAATACGTGCACAACCGTCAAGGATAAATTTATTTGGCTCAAAACAGACGCAAAGAAAAGACTTTATTAAAAGAGATCATCTAAACACAAAAACAAATTTTTCGAAAATTTTGAAGACTAACCACCACTACACCATTTGATCAAATTACACTGATAAGACTAAAGCGAATTGCGAATTGAATGTTTGATTTACTCTCAGAGATAACTCATTTATTTAACCACACACACTGCAGTAAAATAAAACAGTGCACAAATGAAATTCATTTGCGCCAAAATTGCTCTACATCATTTTATTCGAGTATTAACTGTTTGCTAGAGCAAAACAGGCTACAATTATATTGGGATAATTCAGCGTGGCCGTTTTTAGAGTCGTAATCCATCGATCTAGCCCAATCTCAGCTGAATAAATGCATCGTAAAATTCTCAACGTTGTATAGAAATAGTTTATGAAGCAAGCGCTGATTTATACTCCTGTTTTTCAAAGAGACTTTGTGATTGTGACAGCAGAGACAGATATATTGTACAGGGTGACCTAGAGGTGCGTGCAAGCTCCAAAACTTTTTTCTATCCAAGCTATCGACTTGGGTTTTTTTAAACAATAGATCCCATAATGAAGCACATTTCAAAAACACGAAGTTATCCAAAAAGACTGTCTGTTGTAATAGATTTGAAAGTATTTTTGTTAATAATTTGAAACACTGCAACCGGACACGGTTTTGACTGACAAATACTTGACCTACAACCCTTCAAGATTGTTGAATTTTTGTTAATCAAAAGCGTACTCTAACGGTTACCTTTAAAAATTAAAGTCATAATTGCCAACAGATTCTTTCATTGTGGATCACTTACACTTTATATTTTAGATTGACACATCCATACAATTCTAAAAAGAATATGTTTCAACAAAATAAAATTGTAACAGAAACAGGAGTAAATCAAAAAGAAGCAATTTTAATAATCTCTACAGAAACAGAAAAGGAAGACAGGAAACAATGTAAAAATTTTGAGAAAAGGCTACTTATAGAAAGTGCTCAAATAGGTTACCATCATGTTCTACACAAGCTGCTATAGTTTTTTTTTAGCAAATGAGCTCTGAACTCTAGCAAGCGTTGCTCCATCAGTGAAATGGAAGGCTTCCGTCAAATTTTACGACAGCGGCCTACTAGATTCCATTTTTTTTTCGAAAAAAATCTACATTTTTTATTTGCAAAAATCTCACAAATTTTACAAAGTAAATCCCACAAACTATATATTGGCAAAAAGCTCAAAAAAAATGCTATGCAACGATGCAATAAAATAAAGGGTGTTGTATTTGAAAAAGTCGAATTATTGGAATTTGTAATTTGTCATTTTCAACAAATCGTAGTAGGCGATGGAACATCGACTCCGAGTTTGCCTTTCTCTCAGAAGATGCGGTAAAACTTAAAGAATCGACTGGAAAAAAGTTCGTTACGTTATCTTAAATGGTTCTAAAATTATGAATATTTCTGTGGATTTATGCACGACCATATTTTAACATAAATTGATATAAGTCAAAAACTATTGCAGATAATTCTAAGAAACTGGGTGAGTTACATCGACAATTTAGTGGAGAATTCAAAAATGTAATGTAAATTGGGGGTTTTCATTTAAAAAACACAACTTAGTGGTGTATCTTATTTTCAAAGATCCGGTATTAAATAAAAATATTTTTCTAATGTGCTTTATTATCGGACCTACCATTTAAAAAAAATCAAGTCGATAGCTTGATAGCTTAAAAAAGTTATAGAGGTTCCACGCATCCCTGGATCACGCTGTATATAGTCTCGAATATAATCCACTAACCTGTAAAGAGGTTCGCCGATGGTCTCCTTGAACCATAGCACCATAGCGACGGCGTCATCTCGTTCCTTCGGATTTATATCACAGGGAAGGCCCTTCTTTTTATTTAATACTCCTTGAACTTCCACCATTGGAACTGTAACAATTATTCCTATGTTAGAAAACAAAGGTGAACGATTAAAATGGCTAGACGAAGCCACGAATTGAACGTCATTGTGGAGAAAGCAAAAATGGAAACGTCCATGAATAATTCTCATACAAATAATCAAGGAAATGGTTTACTATTGTCATGAGTTTTAAAGGGAGAGAGGAAAATCCACTATGAATTTTACCAAGGCTTTTCTGCTTTTCCGGCTAATGTTATTAACCAAAAAGAATCACAAAAGGAAAAGCAGAAGCGATGAAGTACATTGCTATTTACGTAAGTGATAAAGGTTGATAAAAACTTATATTCTTATAAGAAAGAAGGTTTGAAACCTGTTGAATCAGTATTGTGATTCTAATACAGGGTGTGTCAGATATGGCGCCCGAGAAAAAAATTTCAAGCAAGATAAGATACCAGGAATATGGAAAAAATGTTCAAAAAATTCTATCTGTCAAAAAATTTTGACATTAATTTTTTGACATTTGTCATTTTTTATGTCTATTTAATGATACTAATAAATGTTGAATTTTTTAGTTAGAAATTGTTCCTAGTGAATTTTGCGGTAAAAAGTGAAAAAAATTCCTTATACAGCAGAAATATTATTTTCTTAAAAATGTTTAACGTCGGCATGAATTTTTATAGGCACATCGTCGTGTGTTGATGTTGTTTCTAAACAAGATTTCTCATCTCGATTCTACTCGTGTATTTTTAAAAAATAATATCCAGCCGGAGCACCGTCGAAGAGAATAATTTCGGTAATGGATTTACTGAAAAACAAACAAGGAGGAAGCCGAAATAAATTATTAAATCGCTCCAGTGTACGTTAGAAAATGAATTTTCATGGATTTTCCGAATAAATAGCTTTAATCGAATAACTCGTACGTCGCCTAATGCTAGATTTTCTAGAAAAAAAGAACAAATATTTCATACGCGAGCCGGAGGCGTAAGACGTTGAGAAAACAATAAATATCCGGTCGATTCGATTCAGAATTGAACTTTGTAATTAGTAAATTTAATATTCTGAAAAGCCAGCAACACCTAACCCTAATATCGATCAGCAAACAGATTATCTAAATTGCTTACTTTGTAAACATTGTAATTGGAAAAGTTTATGCCCCACGAACCCTTTCTGATGATTGTAACATTGCACTGGGAGTCATAGACGCGGATTTCTAAAATACATTTAACACGATAGTGATCTTGTATCCCAACATGAAGTAATATTAAACTCGTTAGGTGGTTTATGAGATTTCGAAAGTTCAGGATATGGAATTTGCATTTTTCTCAACTCGTATAGGTTTCCTCTTGTTTTTGACAAGATAATTCAAGAAAAGCTGAAGGAATTCAGGACGAGATCAAGTTTTAAGTCAGTTAAGATAACGGCGCAGTGCCAATTTACATTCTATTAAGTTCAAATATTTGCCCTTATGCAAAATCAATGGAATGAAGTACAAAAATATTTCAGAACTAGATTTGTTAATAAAATGAAATTGTGAAAAAAAACCTTAATTTGGCAGAGTAATAAAAGGTCTGAATTAAGCCTGGCTAAACCAATCTGTCATTATACTGTTGTCGTTTTCTTTCGTCAGCTTCAAAATTTCTCATTATTAGTCATGAGGTGTCGTCGAGCTCTAGTACTCAAACAAAAAACGCGTTTATTAAAAAACTCTAAGCCGCAAAAACTTTTAATAAAAGATCTCTGTGCTTTATTGCTTTCTCATCTAATATCGCTTTCTTATTTTATTCCCTGCCAAGTCCGTTTGTTTATCTGAAAACATCAATCATCAGAAATGTCAGAGCAAGTGCAGAATTTAATCAAGTTGACTTTCCACTTATTGCAAGTCTTTTCAACTTGTTATTCTCTTCTCACTTATTTGCGCCAAATGTACGCACTTTTATTCCAATTACTCGAGAAACGCCCGAACCGCATCGTCGAGTATCGAACGTTTTGCCACTTTCTCCACCTTATCTAATGACAACTTGCACATCCTTTGTGCGGAGGACTACATTTTTGGCCAATTAAACTGTTCGCGAGTACGAATTAGTGATGTGGAAAATTCGCTGCTAACTATAATGACTTTATCGCAAGAAAATTTGCGTCGATGTTCGTCACGTTCCAAGCGAAAACTCCAGGGTTTAACCAACTTCTTAATTTCAAGAGAGCTGTATTATATTCATATCGAGTGGCGCACCGTTACAACTTTGCCCACAAATCATCAGAATTTAAGAAAAAATCCTACATTCTTTTCAAGTTGCAGTTAAAGAGAAAGCTTTGTTTCCTGTTGTTGACAAACGTGACTGCATTGTCACAATAAAATATTTATTTAATAAAAAATATTTCAAGACAAAGTGACAAATTTTGATCATAAAATATATTCAAAATTTTTTGTAGGATGTCGACGTTGATGTAGCACCCGTCAATAAAACAAAACGATACCGAAAAAAAAAGATTAAACCCGATGAAATATAACCCCAAGAAATTTAATAAATGGAAAACCTCGTGCAATTATTCAAATGCTGAAAACAAGCTAAAGCTGTTTTGAAGCTTTGATCCCGTGCGCTGCATCACATTCAGCAAAATGTCATTATTGTTCACGCAGTGAGTCGGACTAGCGCCTGCACATTTAGCAAAATGTTGTGGGAAAAATCTCTAATTAAAATAGCGCGCATGATTGCCTCTGCTTGTATAGTTAGTTCCCTTTGTTTTCCTTTCCTTTGCGTTAATTATAAATAAATTCAAACGTGCAATTCCATTGAAAGCAAACGTATTCAACGGTTACAACAGCTGATTCTCCTATTCGTTTAAATAAAATTAGAGCTTTTTTGTCATTAGTGAACTACATTAATTCCCAGTCTCTCCAGATAAAAAGATAATTCGTTTAAATGAGTAACCACTGGAAAACATAATTCCATTAAAATTGTGAGTACTTAATCCGCAACTTATAACTCATCGGCCAGATGGCTACAAACTTTTCCTATTACTTGTAAGCAAAAGTTTGGCTAACACCGAATTTCGTAAAAACCGATAAAATGATCTTATAATAGAATTACAAATTGTTTGTTGTCAATGTCACATTTGGGTCATTAGCTACATCGACCTCTTGTTAACTTACAATAGAATGGGAAAAATCACGGGGGTTGACCAGTGCGTCATCCTCACCACGTTTACATTTTTTTGACGTTAGGTTCAATATCTACGAGTTAGAAATCGTTTATTGAATAGATTGGAAATGACGTTCTACATTCATTAGATACATCATTATGTTTTCCAATGTTTTTGGATGTTGTATCTAAAACTCGGAATTTTTAGTCAGTATAAAACCGATTTTCTAAAGAATAGTGGGTAAGTTGAGAAAAAAACGGATGCAAAATCGGTATTTCATAAATAGAAATCATCATAAACATAAGGAGCGTGGACAAGTAATTTCTTACATTGAGTTTTTTTAAGTGTTTAAAACTATACCTAGAAGATGATCATATGCATTCTTCCAGGTAAGAAAAAAGAAAAAGTTCAAATTCAAGATGTCTACAAAACAAAGTTGCATCTTACATCCGTCGAAAACAAACAATAAACGTTAAGAAGCTTTTATTCTGATCTTATGAAAACCAGAAAGTTACTTATGGGAGAGTCATAATAATACGTCGATTTAAGTTTGTACTGTTAATTACTTCATTAAATAATAGGCTTCTTAAACAACGGTCATATTTACCTCAAATAAATCAAATCATTACAATTTTATTTACAGAGTGTGGTTTGTGCCATAGCAGACACAATATGTAAAGTACAAAACAGCATTTGAATGTTTTTTTAAGATTGGCCCTATTTTTTGTAGAATAAGTAAAGGATAATATATATATTATATCGGAACGAAGTGGAGATAGATACAGTTGGCCGTGACTCGAACATGGCATTTAAGTGGTGTAGTTGAAGTACATACCAGGTGAATAAAAAGTATGGAACCAAACGTTTTTTCCTTAAACTATTTATTTTTTGAAAAAACTAATTGATGAGTGATAAAGTACTATAAAAATGTGATGATTTAACAAGAATAAAATTTTTCGAAATTTCCTTTTGTTTTTGAGTTCTACAACAAAAATAATTTTTTTAAATGGCAACCCACTATAAAATCATTTTTCTCATAAAAGCTATACTCTAAGGATTACAACTATCTGCTTTATATTTAATTTTTTCAAAAAAATTTTTTCACATAAATTGCAATTTTGACAAAAAAAATCGTATAACTCAAAAACAAAACAAAATTTCGTTCGGAAAATACGATCAGATTTTTTATATTACGTTAATTTATATTAATTATTATTTTCTGGAGGCAAATGATTAAAAATAAAACCGCTTGGTTCCATGCTTTATATTCACCCTGTATGTAAATTAATGTTCAAGGCCACCATCCTTAGATACCCGTTAATTGTTTCAATTTACATTGTGACATAATTTTTAATAAGTATTATGATGAACGGCAATAAATTTTATGTAATTTTTTGAAATGAGCTCAAAGTTAATGCATTTTATAATCCTTCTTCAGCTTTAGTCTCAAAATTGTTACATTTTCAACTCGTTCCTCAAAAACGATGCACCAGACACTAATTTAATTGCGTTCTTTCCGAGGTTCTTTCTCATTCACGTTTATTTTATATTCTTGTCAATTTCTTGCTAAAAATTGAGAATGTTTAGCAAACCTGCATTACAAATTGCAACGGGCCCTTTTTCTAACTTCCTGCTTGTCAACTATTCGTTTCCATATTTCTAAAAACTGTTAGCGGTACCGTATTTGTTCCTTTTTTGGTGGTTCGTCTCTAAATATTCCTAGATAATTTTTTGTGTTGACGTTTAATGACAAATTAATTCACAAAACCGGAACTGCCAACTTCCTTTATTAAAATTACCATGAATGAATTTACTAGTGGTGCCAACGTTAAGGCATTTCCATTTAAAAAAACACTTTTCATACAGGGGTATTTTTTTATTAGTATAC